CACATAATACAAACTAACAATATATGCACTTACTTAGTTGTAAATGTCATACGTCTTTGTAGTTTGCTAGTTAAGTGCAAATATTTCGTATACCGTTCAATAGTATCGATAACAAACTACATTTTATTCTACACACTCTATTTTGATTTGTTACTAATTAATGATGTAAAAGCGTTTGTCAAATAAATGTGTGTTATTTTTTGTGCAAAAATATTTCATTGGATATTTATGAGACAATTAGTCACGTCTAAATAAAATACACTTATACTTATGTAGAAAATCTATTAAATATTTTGAAAAAAGTGTAAATTAAAAATCTAAATAGCTCTACTGTATTGAAGTATACGAGATGGTTCTATTCTTACAAACCTCTTAATATTTCGTAAAAGTATAAGGATTTCGAGGATTTTATATTATTGATTATTATGTAATATTGAATACAGTTACACATACAGAGTGTTCAGTAAGTAAAAAAATTGATTAGTTGTTACAAACAATGAGAACAATAAATACCCGTTTGCTTATTTACTGAACACTCTATATAATTTAATCTAAATTTACAAATTAAAACGTATAACATGAAAACATATTTTTATAAAAAATATATATAGTAGATAATATTCAAATATAGGTATTTTATCTACAAATTTAATAGCTCTTTCGTTAATAACAAAATGCAGTCGAACTTTATTGAGGTTTTGTGTCTGTGTATACATTAAATGTAAATCTACAAATTTTGTAGATGCGATTTTATACGAACACCGGATATCATAGTGAAATTAGATTTATTGAATTTCTGAGAATTTTTAAACACAGTCGCCTACTGCATATAAATTGAAATTTTATAGGTCAACTTATTTATTACAATAGCCACATAAAAAATATCTATACAATCATTAATATAAATCTTTGTCTAAGATTGAATCTAAATTCACTGCAAAATTCACTGATCAAAAAAAACTTGACCGATGATGAAAAACCAATTTTTTGATTTTGTAGTCTCATTTCATGTACAATGAATAGTTTTTCATGCAATCAGAGCGAATAATGAAAAAATAGAGATTTGAAAATTGAATCATCGGCTATTATGGAGTTTTCTCGAGCACATTCGCTTCAACTCGGGAAACCTCTGCACCCGATCACATATCTTCTGGTTGTTAACTTTCAGAAATCGCCAAAAACGTAAAAACTATTTATAACAATTTTAATTATTAGAAGTTACAACTAATGTTATATTCAGAATGACTTGTGTCAACCATAATATTAAATATACGGGAATAACGTTTTAATAATTTTCTCATTGTTAAGAACTTCATATTCATATTAAATTATAAACATGAATTGTATTTTCAATTGTAAAATGGCTTTCAAATAAAACAGTATCACGTCTAATGTTAAATTATTTTTGATTTAAGGTTGTTGAAAGATTGAAAAAAAAATAATCTAAAAGCTAATGGAACTAATAAGACTATAACATTTAAATCATAAACTCAATAGTTTTGCTCATTTTTAATGGTTGCGTTCAGATGACTATAGAAATCCAGAAAACAAATGGTAAGAAAAGACCCCTGAAAATGTAGGGAATATCGTTATAGTTGTGAATGATATGTTTTATGATACACTAGTCTATTCTTTTCTAATAAAAATATTTATCAGGCCAATCCTTTTATAGTATCATGTTAAACGAATGTTTTTGTTAGTGGCGTCGTAGTAATCGAATCTTTACAAAAAGATTATTGTTGGCTGACTTTTGTTTTAATCATGTAAAAGGGCAAAGTACTAGAAATTATTTAACATCCAATGGACCGCAAGGAAAATGCGTAATGTTGCGTGTATTTTTTATAGTAGTGAAGATCATTTTAACTTTGGTACGTATAAATGATAAACGGTAATTATTTATATACATAGTGATGAAATTAATAACATTGGTTTCATATAATTCATACAGTGTCATAATATGAAAAATTGCTTTCGTCTGTCTTGACTATTATTGAACCTGAAAAAACTAGTGCAATAAGTATTACCAAGTGCAAGTAATCTTTCTGCCTTAACGAGAATAACATTGGGTAGATTCAGCAGCTGTAGATATTATTTTATCTTTTAGATTTCTAACTTAAGTATTTGTTTTTATATTGTTTTAAAATGAATAGGAATGAAAGACTTTAATTTCAATTACCGTAAAAATCAACTACTTTCATATATTAATAAACATGGACATATTTGTGAACTACAAATTGTTAACTATTGATGATAACATTCAAACATTTTGATGTAAGGTTAATTTATGTTGTATACAAAATAGAACTTTTTATAAGACTGTTAGGCGGAAGTCTCATAGTGGAAATATTGTCAAATCGCCCATGAGAAATATCAAACATCCACATATATAATACACAAATAGTTAGATAGTGTTCAACGGTGATGTACCAGTGACTACAAATGCTTTTAGTTTGATTGGTTTTTCAAGAAAAGACGACATACATTTTTAAGTGACTGGGGTTCTATCGAGTAGTCTCCATGCAAACGGTTGTATACTACAACAAGTATTTTGTTTCTATACGGTGTAGTATTGACTATGAAACTTAAAGTAGAGTAGCTATGTTGGATAAGTATAATTACTAAAGTAATAAAAGTACAATTTATATCCATAAATTTCTAATATAGTGACATTATTTGAATGTAAAAGTACTATAAAAACATGCATACAGTCGAAATCCATTGTAAATTGGTCAATTTGTTGATTTATTGTTAAATAAATTGTTTAACATCACCATTTAGAGTAAGAGTGACTTTTTTATTTTTCAATTATTTAACTAATTATAGGGTAAATTAAAATTAATTTAAAAATAGTTTTTATATAATTTATTTTTATCTAGTTTTATTAAAATACTGTATAACAATATTGAATATTTAACTAATTTTGATAGATAAAAATTCTTATTAGTTTGTATTATTAAACGATATGTTCAATCTGTTAAGTGGAATGATTCATGCAAAAATAGGCTAGTTAATGGAAATAATTAACTCGAGTTAAGTATAAACAATTTTGATAAATTAACAGTTAAAAGATACTATGTATTAAATTTAACTAGCTAAATTAAAAGATAAGTTGAAATTTTTTTTTGGCTGAACTAGTTTAATAAAAGTATTTCATTTAAAATTAATTTTTCGGTTAAAATATGTTAAAATCATTTTTTATTGGTCAGTGATACAAAAGAAAACTAAGAATCGATTTTCAACTTTTAAAACTGAATAGGAAGAAAATATTAATGTTAACTAAACTTTTTTTTTTTCTCGTTTTGTACATTTTGGCGTTGGTGGTTGTACTGTTTTATTTTAAAACTAGTGATTAAAAAAAATCTGTTAAAAATCACAGACTTTTTTGAAAAAAAATCAGAAAATTATATTTATTGTTATATATATTATAATATTTGGGGGGAAAATTCGTTTTTTTTTAATTAAACCATGTACGCAGCGTATAAAGACATATATTTTGTATGAAATGTTGAATTTAGTTTAACTGTTATATTAACTAATTAACTGGAAAAGCCAGGTTATTTTATCTAGGTAAAATTAAATTAGTAATATTAAAAAATTTATTAAAGAAATTATTAACTAGTTCAGTTCAAACGTTAAAAAAATTAACATTTTAACTAGTTAATGTCCACTATTGATTCCATCTAGTTAACATTTCAGCAAAGAAAGAAATCCCTGAATGTCTGAAATTGTTTGTCATTTGAAAGTTTATTGATAACTTAATTTTTCTAAAAGCTATTCAAAAGCTAAATTGAATATAGTCTAAATAATTAATATATCTAATGCTAAATTTTGTACAATTTGATTCTATTTGAACAAGGAAACAATTTAAAAATGTATAAAAAATAGTTACGGAAATGTTTACAGAAAAGTAGCCAATTCTAAATAATTATCTTGTATTCCCTAATTATGTCTAAATATTTTTCGATATACTTATTACATCATGATTTACTATTTAGTCTATCAAAAAGTTCATTATTATTATTGTTTTGACATTATCTAATATATAACTTAGTAAAAATATTCTGATAAATAATCAAAGACCAATAATAAGCATTAAATATAATGTAAAAATTAGTTTTGAAAAATTAAATTAAAAAGATATAAAAATAATGTTAAATTATAAACTATAGCAATATTTAAGCTATTAATTTTTTTTTTTTTTTTTGTTTTTCATTAGACTATGTAGATTAAAATGTTTGTAATTTCATAATTTATTAGTGTAAATAGTTAGTGTAGCTATAATTAGTAGTGTCAAAATGTTAATAATAGTTTAAAGAAACAGTTAGTATAAGAATAAGAGATATCTTAAAATAAAACATAGAAATCTAGTTTTTTAATTTTTAATTTTTAAACTTAGAAAAATATGAAATAGTAATTAAAGAAAACAAGAACGAAATTATGTATTAGATGAGTTTATGTAAGAGTAGTTATGCACAAAAATAATATTTAATACATTATATATAACGAGATACCAGATAATTTAAATAATGATTGAACAGCAGTAAAAAAAAATATTTTTAATAACCCTGACCAGGTAAATAATTTAAAGTTTAAAAATAAATGTTTTGGAATTGGATCACGTTATATTTTTATACCGCATCAATACCCTCAAATTAAGATAAATTTGTGTACAATCATCTTTATATTGAAATTTTAACGCATATTATGCTTTTCTATATTTTTATTTTTATCATAAATATTATTGTTTCATTGCCTAGACTATGAAATAGAAGTAGTTTTATACTTCTGGAAAAATTAGTAGAAATCAGATAAGATCAATGTACTGTGTACATAATTATTTAGATATCTTACCATTAAAAAAATGTTCTATAACTCTAGGAAATATGTTTGCATTTGCACTGGAAAAATTATATATTTGTTATACTTATCAGCTACAGCCAACAACTTTTAATTACTCTATAGCTTGACAAATTTGTCAGCTATAAATAACCAACGATGTGTTACAACTAATAAAAATTTTTATTAGACAGAAAATAAAGCATAAAATTACATTTTGAAAAAATTTACATTGCCAATAGGACAGTAGTTGTTGTATTAGTATGAAGACGCTCAGACATGGTGTACAGGAATGGTGGTACCACTAGCTTTAAATCCTTCATGACCAGCGGTGTATTGGACTGCTTGCAAATGACCATTGTCATCCACGTATGAATAGCTTCCTTTAGTTTCTCCATCAGCATTTCTGACCTCATTTTTAGCTGAGAATCCGTCAGTATATCCATAGACATACTGACCATATTCATCTTGAGAATGATATTGAGAGTTAACAGCTGGTAAAGATGCTGATGGTGCAGGTACAATAGGAACAGGGTATTGTTTGACGGCAGGAATGACAACTGGGTAGTGTTGAACCAATGGTGCAGGGTAATGGTCGACAACGGGTATGGCAGCATACTTGATTGGATCGTGTCTAACTACACTGGTGTAAGATGTAGCTCCGTACAATGGAACAGCAGCGTGTTTGACTGAGACTACGTGAGCTGGAACTGGTGCAACAGAGTAGTACAAGCTTCGCTTTCTGCGGCCCAACAAAAGTGATGAGTGAGATGGTGAATAATGCAAGTTGCTGGTTCCAGCTGGTGTCAATGCTTGATGTAAACGGACGTTTGGAGCAGAGAGCACGACGGCGGGAGCTGGAACGGTGTCTAAACGACGAACATCTATAACAGCTGGAGATTCAGCAGTTTCAATGCTTGGTAAAGCGGTATGAGTTACTGCTGGTAAAGCTGGTACTGGTCCAGGGATTACTGCTGCAGAGTTATCAATCGGGAAGTTGGTACCAGAAGCACGAAAGCCATTGATAGGGTCTGAAATATAAGCTACAGACTGAACTATTCCGTTGGCATCAACGTAGGAGTAGCCACCACGAGTAACCCCGTCGGCGGATCGTTGTTCTTGTTTTGAAGAAAGATCACTCGAGTAACCATACGAGTATTGACCAAGATCATCTTGTGTGTGGTACTGGCTTGAAGAAGGTGTGTTTAAGACTGAATGCACCCCGTGACCTTTGACTGTACTTACAGCTACTGCTACCAATAACTGAAAACGATATATAATTTATTAGTTTGGTTTATCTAATAAAGTTACTGAGTTGGTACAGAGTTATATAAGAATGATAATAAAAACGTCAATGAGTAGATGTGATTGAAGTCAAAATCTCTAACATTCATTGAAATTTTATTGAATGAATTATGAAAATAATGAAACAATAAACTTATTAATAATTTTAGTATTTTAACATCCATTAAATTCCAAAAGTATTAAATTTCTTTGCTTTTATATCGTCATGCAATATTTGTTGGTTTATTTTTAAACTATTATAGCTGACATGGAATGCTGGTCAATTGAATCGGCTGTTATTTATCAGAAAATGCGTTTTATTGTTTGATAATTTGTGAGCGTTCAACTGAAATCCCTGCGAGCGATATTTGCTGTCAAACGAAAAAGTATAATACAAATAAAAAAGAGAAAAGAAAACTGATAGTTTTTTTTTTAGTAGCCTACCCTAACACCAAACAAATGACGGCCATTCCTAGTTTATATATTATTCATATAAATCGATCAGAACGGTGAACTTTATTATAGTGTTTTTCGGTCACATCAAATTGTGTTGGTGTGGCGGGGAAGATAAGGAGAAAGATAGGATTTTTGTTTTTCGAATGACTATGATAAATTATGGCTTAGTCCTTCATTGTTTATCGTGTTTTAGACGGTTTGTCCACTGGTCATATGAAAAACTCGTTGGAAAAAAAATCAAACATATAATAACATATTTCACATAATAATAATATTGTGTACATTGTCTGTCGACGTAGCGATTATTATTAAACATCTAGTTATGATGTGTATACTTGAGCTTTTTTCTCTTCTATTTGATACGACTTGTTTGTTGACGCTTAAATTATAAGCAAACATTTTTTGCATAGGCGTACAAAGAATAATTTTAAAGAATAATGGTTGGTGCTTAGTGTGAAACTGCCGGGTCGATTTTTAAGCCGGTTTTCGCTAGATTAGTTTTTACCCGGGTACGCGGCACATAATCGAAAAAACCCCTTTCTTAAATATATGTAGGCACAAGGACCTTTGAATAAACTATAGCGTCATTTACGACGTAAATAAAGGTTTTTCATGGATTCTTTTTCCTATTTCTTCAAGAAAGTAACGACAAAATATAAAACGAAAAGTATTCACACTCACTGAGTAAATTACGATTGTCCTCAGTGCTTTTTATACACATTTTTTAATCATATAAGTAATTACACGAGTTTGGTTTGATAAGCTTACCATAAAATAAGCAGAATTCATTATTGTAGTTTTTTACGTTGGAGATAATATTGATAATTGTTGTGGTCCTCTAGTTTATGTTCTGGCAATCGTTGAAGAGTGCGGCTTGACCACTACTACTAGGACTTGTATACAATAATAACAAATTCCAACGCGAACTATACTGAACTGAACAAATTAAGTTTCTGTTTAGATCAAATCTAAGTTTGGAGTTTATATATGGTCACTAAATGGTTTGTGACCTTAACGTTGCAATGGCGGGCGTATTCCATCCGGAAGCTGACCGACAGGTGAGGGCAGTTGAAGTGGAGGACATATAGGCGATGCGGTTACACCTTTCATCGAGCTTCGCAATACTGTTTTAGGTTTACCCAGATGCAACCCTTCCTACTAACTCTGGTACAGAAAAGCTAATCCATTTACATTTTACATGGACAAGAGTCTATTATATTTATTTTATAATCGATCTAAAATGTACTATGAACAAATTAAAAAAAAAAATTAATAAAATTCAAAATTATTTATGTAAATTTTACTGCTAGTTTCAATTTGAATAATAGTCAAATCATTTTCGATCCCTCAAAAATATTGTGTTTTGTCTTGAAGAAAATAGTATAAAAATCAAATATTTTACTCTAAAACGAATCAAAGCAGGTCTATGATGTTTTTGGCTTTTTAAAATAACAATTTTCATGGCTTCTACTGTGTGTTTCAAAGGCATTTTAGAAATAATTTTGTAACAATATAAGAACTTTTTAAAGTTTGTTTTATCGTAATGTAGTTTTTACTTACATAATTTTTTTTAGTTTTTATCTTTAAGAATAGTTATTTATGATGTAAATATTTTTTGACATTGTGTGTCCCTTGAAAAACTAGAAATGGGTTAAAAATAATGTTATTTTTTTTTAGTTTAAACAATTTTATTTTAAATGTTAAGTGATAAATAAAAAATTATTGTGAAATGTGTTAAGTTTATAATTGTCGTTTTTTACAGTTTGTTAAATATTATCTTTTGAGTGAAGTATATTTACTTTGTTTTTGTTGCTATAAATAAAAAAATATATGATTATAAATTATATATTTGTTTAGATTTTATATTTATATAATAATACGCAACCTTAACTCTTTTTTTTTCTCAAATTCTAGTTTGAATATAAATAATAATTCATCATTTATTATCATGATAGGGTATCTCAAACCTAACTGAGAATGTTTATAACCTTTGATGTAGTTATTTTATTATATTTTAGTTATTTTGATAAAATTTATTTTTTAATAATTATTTTTTTCTTAGACTGCGTTAAAAGTATAATATTTATTATTTATCACTAATAAGAAGAAAAAACAATTTTTGTTTTATTTTATATTGTTTAAAAATTTCTAAATAATTTTTTTTATAGCCCTATTCTTACAAAAAATGTCGATAAAAATTTGTATGAGTAATTATTGAAATATAAGCATTTTAATACACAGAGTGGATGTGGAACGCGAGTGGATTATTTGTACATAGTGTGAGCTGCACCCATCCTCACTACATGTACAACTTTCAAAAAAAAAAAAATTATTATTATATGGATACATAATTTAAACATTTTATACAAATTAAAACATAACAACGTACACCAATATGAGCTGTACTCAGTATGTGTATTAAAAAGCTTGATACTCATTGAGAACTTGTATTAAAATTGGTACCGACCCATTAAAATTTTTAGTAAAAAAGGGGGTGAAAATAGCTGTTTTGAAATTTCGAAAAAATAGAAATAATTATTTTTCTTATAACTAATAATAAACATGCACTCAACGAAATTTACAAAGAAATAATAATTTTTAATAAAATTTAATTAAAATGATAATTGTACCAAAAGTTATAAGCGTTGTCAAATACGTCTGAAACACCTGTATGTATATGATAAAAAATATATAAACTATATTTACTTTATTTTTTTTTTAAGGCCATCAAATGACCTTTCTTTGATTTTCGAATGAGTTATATTGTTAATAAGGTGTAAAATGATATTATTTAGAATCTGTATCATGTCATAAGTGGACATTATTAAATTAGTTGTTTGTTTTGTATAAATGTATAAATAATTTATACGATAATTAATTAAACTGTAATACCCAAAATAGTACTCTGAGCTTAACTGTTAGTATTTTAGTTAAAACATGTTAAAAATGTAATAATTAAAATTTTTACCTATAAAAATTATTCGATCAATGAACATTTAACTAAATAAACTTATAAAAACCATTTCTTTTTTAGATAATCATTGTGTTGAAGTTAAAAAATTTGATGCAAATTTTCCTCATTTCATTTATAATCTATAATAAAACTGTTAAACCAAACGAATGTTATTAGTTGTAAGATAAGACAATTACAAGTGTTTTATTTATTTTATTAGCGTTGTTATAATTTAAAAGTAATGTCAATACCTTTAACAAGACAGAATAAGTGTTATTGGATTGGAAGGGCGTAGGCCGATCAGTTCGGCGTAGTAGCGAAGGGCAGTTTGACACTACTTTAATAACCTTATGCAAATTCATCGTTTTACATTTGAAAGATAAACACAAAAAGCGCAGGCGGCAACTGATTGAATGTTAAAAGCTAAGATTTCCCTCTCTCTTTTATCCTTTTTTTTTTCATTTCTACTTAATATTCCAGTTTTTACTCACAGTTTAAAGTGCATTGTTGTGTACATAAGCAGCGATACGATATGCGTTTCCATTGGAATCATAAAAACACACAACTCTTTGTTATAAATAGCATAGATAGTGCATGTGCATGTATGCACACATATAGCTTCAGCTGCTGTAAAGTTAAATAAAAGCATGATCCTTTCCATACGTTTTAGTAAAAAAATGAAGTTTATTTTCTATAAATTTTGTAACGATGATAATGAAATTTGATGTTTATCTTGTTTAAAATTAAATTGATGAGTTAATTCATTTTCAAAGAGTTTTTTAATGCTTTTCAAAAACATAATATTTATTTTCATGTATTTAACAGTATAAAACTTGTGTTCTTTGAAATAAGTTTTTCACATTTTTTAAATAGTCATAATTTGCGGAAAGTGAAAATATTCAGGACAGAAACCTTACAATTATAAGCTCAAAATGTATAATATAATGATAATTGGAAACAAAATAAATGTATGAATTGGAAGTAACGCATACATTATATAAATTAAAATAAGGATAAGACAGGATAAGTCCACAAGCCTAAGCTTTTACAATTTTTCCTGAATTCTGTGAACAAACTTAAAATCTGAAATTTGGATGGGAACTAATTCAATATCTAGTTTAACATTACAATTTTTTTCAATCATCTCTTTCGTCTTGTATAGGCGAAATATCTTTCCCCGACTGACGAAAAAATGACGAAAGTTGATGAAAACAAATTAGAAAATGTGTAACCAAAACTATTAAAAAAAAAAACGAGTCTTTATAAATAAATAGTTATTATGTAATACATTTAGAATATTTAAGTGAAAATTTTGAAAAATTGTATAGCATACTAATATCTAAATTCTCCTAAATTTTCAAAATTATCAATGTCTTCCACAAAGGGAAAAGACATTTCAAGGGGCTTTTAAAATGCTAGACAGGACTCCATGTCCCCCTGATATATACTTGTATTCAACATTGTATAAAGGTATTAAAAATAAGTTCATGGTTGTATATAGTCTCGAAACAAATAAAGTAGATCCCATTAAGTAATTTTTGTCTTACAGACACATTAAATTATCTAGACGTACAAGTACAATGAAACAAACCACGCGTAAATATTTGATAAGAATTGCCACCAGTATGTATGTTAAATGTAACCAGAAGGAAACCATCTGAGAAAACATTTTTCTACAAGAATTACGTTCCGATCCTTTCATAGAAGTACTTTATGACGTACAATAAAATATAGCACACCTAAAGTTTTAAACTTGACTTTTTAGTACTCATATTATAGAGTATTTATTCAATATAGAACCTCAAGATGTTTAAAACAAGTCGCAAGATTATTTAATATAAATTGAACTAAAAACAAGGTACAACTCAAAAAAGTGCTGAACTTAATCAAATTACCAAACATGACATAAAATACAGAAACGTTAATGAATTTTTAACTTCAAAAATCAATATTCAAACATTCCTTCAATCTTACTTATAGATTAGACAAAATTTTATTTTTGATTTAATCGATGATTTACTTTTTATCCGTATAAATGACTACAGCAAATATTGAACAAGACATTAAAATTTCTAAAAGATACTAGAAGATTGTACCCTCTAAAGAATACTACAAATTTCAATCATTATTGCTTAATACAAATTAAAATATAAAATAAAAAATAAAATCTAAGTAATTATCCGTGGAATCAAAAATTGAATTGTGTATTAGCTAGGAAATATAATTGATAAGTAATATGATTAATGGAAAATAGAAAACGGTGTGTTTTGAAAAAATATCGTAATAAACGAAAGTGGTTTAAACTCTTTATCAATAGATACTTATTATAATTTATTATTTGATGATGTCAAAAAAAAATGTGCTAAAGATAAAATATTCACAAAATCAAAACATTTTGTTCAGTTTGGCTTTGAAAATAGGAATTTCAGAACATATCATGAAATACATATTTTTAAATTGCTATTCTCCATAGTTTTGCTTTTCAAATTTGTAGAACTTATCTCAAAATGATATAAGAATTTATCGATTAAAAACATTGATTTTTGGTATATAAAATTATCTGCAAAGTTAATACTTGATTATAATAATTATTATGTAATTGAGACAATTTAAACGTTACCTTGCCTTAAGGTTTGATTGAAAGGGAAGTATATGGAAATAATTATAATAATTTTAACATTTAGATAAATATTTATGTGAAAATTAATTAAGAATTAAATAATTTCGAATGTTATATATAAATGATTTTTAACGAAAAGTTTAGAACATTATTTTTATACAAAAGTAATATTTAATATGTAATTCGCATTCTTGTCTATTGTATTCTTAGTATTATTACAATTTCTATTTTTTTTTATCTTATTTTTTTCTAAAACATGAGGTATTTCTCTGAATTGGGTAGTTATTGAATTTTTCTTTTTATACGCATTTTTGTGTGCGCGAAGCATAAACACGAGTGACGGGGCCAACAAATACTTGACCGTGACGCAGTATCGTTGGTACAGAGGTGATTTGT